CACGCCTGGCTAATTTTTTGTATTTTTAGTAGAGATGGGGTTTCACCGTGTTAGCCAGGATGGTCTTGATCTCCTAACCTCGTGATCCACCCGCCTTAGCCTCCCAAAGTGCTGGGATTACAGGCGTGAGCCACCACACCCGGCCATCAGTCCTGATTCTTAATTTGCTGTTCTACTTGTTAAAATGGAATCTTCTTCTTAAAGTTGAAAACATTTAAATCTTATTTTATTCTCCACAACCAGTTCTAACTCAAAGAGTAGTAGTTGGATTTTTACCTCCAATGCCTTTTTCTTCCTGCCTTGTTTGACTAGGGCAGTGAAACCAGACAACACTTACCTTTTTGGGTCTGGTTGTTTAGCTGCCCTGAAGCTAATTGTTCCTTGTTCTGACTAGTTGGCCTCTTCATTTCATGACAGTCCTACCAGCCGCCAGTACTAATCCTCTTATCACACGCTATCCCCTGGCTCCCATCACTGCACCTGCAATTAGACTCTTCTCTTGCTATGTAAACTGCTTCTGCATCACTAATAATTAATATTGGTTATTCAGCACTTCTTCTGGCTGCTAAATATTGAATTCTGTTATTTTTAATTATACGAGGCCCTTATTCATTATCTTACTGAATTAGTCCTGTGCCCACTGGTTATAACAACTCTCTAACTAATGGATCTGTCCCTAGAATACCTCTCCTTCTCACAATCACACTCTCTGGGGTACAGTTTAGTATTTAACAGGCATCAAGCAATAATGTCCCTCCATCTCTAATACTCTTAAGTAAAGCTGCCTCAGTGCCTCTGACGTGTCCTCCCCAAAGACAAGGATAATTTGGAAGGTGGGTGTTGCTGCTGTCTGTGGCAATGAGAAGAGAAAATGAACTTAGAGCCACATGCGAGTGGGGACACTAGAGACTGGGGTAGAAAGAGTGCGCTTATAGCTTAGGGAGAAGTCAGGGATTTTAGAGGTTCCTTTTTATGGGTGTAGGGGAGTGAATTTCTGGTGCTGGCTCTGGGGAGTGGAGACTCAGGGGGTTATGGGTGTACATGAAAGGAGGCTGTGCTGCCGGGATGGCCTTACCAATTCTAGAGACTGGTAGAGGTGGTGGTGGTGGGCACTTGATTCTGGGAGGGACAGCAGCCCGGAGAGTAAGAGAATGGGGTTGGGGTGATTGAAGAGCCTGGAGAACTTTTGGGGAAAGTTCTGAAAAGTCAAGGTGGACACGTGGGAGGAGTCAGCTATGGGTGGGAGATGGGGAGGAGAGGGAGGAGGGTTGCAATAATTTGATATAATGTGTGAGCCATCTGCCAGCCCATGGAGGGCAACATTTCCTTTTCCCTGTACTGGTGGCGACTTACTCTCTCTTCCTTTCTTAAGGATGAGAAGAAAAAAAACAAAAAACAAAAACAGAGGAGCTGCCCCTCTCCTCAGTGACTCCCAGGATCGATTTGCGTATTCTCCATCCCCAGGAAAAGCAGGCATCCATGGTCCCTCCTATGCTCCTTGGGAACCCCTTCCTTTTGCCTCCAAAATGAAATTGCCTTTCATTCTTGCCAGTCCTTTGATTCTCCAGGGGTGATGCCCACTCTTCTTCCAGCCTGATAGCCAGCTGGCCCGTCACCAACTGGTTAATCCATTAACCCGGTATGGCCACTGGTCAGCCAGTTGGCCAGCACCAACTCGCTCTTTAGCCAGTTCTCTGGAAAGCCATCTGGTTGATCAGTTAGCCAACAAACCTGTAAGTCCATGGCTCCAACCAATAGCCCATCCCTCCTCACAGCCCTTGTTCCCTCCCTTCCTTCCCCTAAACTCTCTAACATTTCAGCTGATAGGACTTACTAATACTGCATAATTGGGTCTGCTTCTTAATCCCCTGCCTTCCCTCTCTCACCCTTCTGTTGGAAAACCCCGTTGCCGACTCTGTGTGTGTTACTAACACGCTTATAACCCAGGGGACCAAGGGATGGGCAGGGACAGGTGGGGCAAGGTATGAATGAAAAACCGAACTAACCTTTCTGTCTCATCTGCGGAATGTCGGCCATCTTTAAGTCTTTGGTTTCTTGGTCCAGTTCTTTTGTTGTTTTCTTCTCTACTAACCAAGGTCTCTAACTGTTCCCCTTCTCTGCAGACGGCTCTTCTTCGGGGAGGGGATGAGGGGGAAGAGGAATCCAGAGGAGGGATGGGGGACGGATGGGGAGAAGAAGGAACTTAATTTTTGTGTGTGTTTTATTTCTCCTCCCCCCATTATAATTTAATTTTCTTTAAACAAATACTTTCGCTGAACCTAAGGTGGGAGGGTTGGAACAAACAACCAAATATATATAGATATATATTTTTTCCTCCTTCCTTGAGTTTCACAGTTGGTCATTTTATTTTTCTTTTCTTTTCGTTCTGTTCTTTTGTTGTTGTGTTTGTTGTTGTTTTTTGACATCCCCCTCCTCCCCATCCCCCTATATCTCCGGTGAAGCACGCAGGGATTGGACACGCTATGGTAAACAAACTGCATTATCTGGTAGATATCACTCTAATTGTCTTACCGTTTGGTTTGCCGTGGGTTTTTTTAACTGTTCGATTCTCCTTCTTTTGTTTCCTCTCCCTGTTTGGTTTTTTGGTTGTTTTGCTCTTCCAATTGTTTTTTGCGTCCTGGACAATCTTTAGATTTTGCTTCTCTTTTAGTTTCCCTCTCTCCCTTTTCTTTCTTTTTTGGTCCAAACTGAAATACAAAAGACAAATGGAAATCGAGGAATTTGGCTTGTCCCTGCTGTAATCCCTAACTCCTGAATTCAGATTCCTGGCCAGAGAGACCTGGGGGCAGGCCCCATGTTCATCGGCTCTGGTTAGACCAGCCCCGATGCCAGGCTGCTTATTTCTATTGCTTTATTTTGTTCTTTTCCCTCCCCTCCCTTGTTTTTTCTCTTTGATTTAGTTTCTTGGTCCCCTGAAAATCCATGGAAAACACCATCCCATGACATGCTATGCTCTGCTCACTGTCAGCTCCCTGGACAGGGCCCCTCAAGTTTGGGGAGGGGGCTGGGGGTGAGACCTCCAGTGGCAGCCAGCGGGGTGGGTTCCCAGGGGTGGGGGGCATGGCCTTGGGAGATGCGGAGCTGTCTGAGATCAGTCCAGACCTCATGCAAATCATCAGTTCATAGCAGTTTGGGGGCTGCCCCATGCTGGCTGCTCCGGGAAAGGTGCCGTCCCTTCCCTCACTTCTCAGCCTTGAGAGTTCCTGGTTCCATGTCCCCCACATTTTGCATGGCATGAATGGTCTTTTCCCCCGACCAGGGATAGCGTCCAGTTCCCCGCAACTGCTCTGCTGCTCTGACTAACACTGTGTTTCACACTGTCTTCCTTCCCCTCACCCCCTGCCCTCTCTGCCCACTGCCTGCCCCGCATGGCCTCTGACAGGGGCTGGTTTCCTTTCCTGTTGAGGGGAGTGAGAGGAGGAGGCCTGCAGGGGTGGGAAGGGGCAGCATTGGTTGTCCTTGTCACCGAGTTCCTCTGTTTGGGTTGGGCTCAGTCCTGGTGAGTGTTGGTGTGGGTGTCTGTGTAAATGCAGCTGGTGTGTGTTGGTGTGTGGGTGTGACTGTGTGTAAATGTTGGCGTGACATTTCGGGGTGTTAGTGGGAAGCTGTACTCTGTATGTGCGAGGCTCTGCTGGTGACTCTCCATGTGTGAGCTGGTGTGAGCTGGGGGCTGCGTGACTGTGTAGGTTTTTGAGCCTGGTGAGGACTCTGTGTGGAGGTGGACTATGGGGACTGGCCCTTCAGTCGCAGTGCCATGGCAGGCAGGAACAGGGAAGGAGCTGGGGCTAGCTCTTTGCTCCCTGCCTTGCCTCAGAGTGTGTGCCCGTAGGCCTTGCTGCGTGCGATCCCCTGGGATTCCCTCGTGCCTGCCCAGTCCTGGCTCTGCAGCAGCAGCCGGTTAGTCATCGCCTATTAATAATGCAGAGTGATTGAGCACCAGGCTGGGGACCCTGCAGATGGACGTGTCTGCTCCTGTGGGGCTGGCGCTGCTTGGGGCAGCTGCCTGGCCTGCCCAGCCGCCCAGGTTTGCATGGCTGGCTGGTGAGGAGGGAAGCGTAACAGTTGGGGCTCCCAATCTGAGTGTCTCCCCAACTTCCCTAGGAGGCTGTACCTCTGAGGCTACATCTGGCTTTTCCTGATACTTTTGCGGGTCCATGTTTTCCTGCACCCATATAGACTAGTGCCCATGGCCAAAGCCATTCCGGCCCTCCCCAATTTAAGATCTCAGGTTACCACTCCCAGTGGTCTTGGTGTTCCAATGGGGCATACAGTGCCAGGTTTCTTGTTCCTCCAGCTGCTGCTTCTAGGAGTTAGCTGCTACCTGCCCAGCTTAGGCCAGGCCATTGAGTACCTGTCAGGAGTTGGCCATTTGGAACTTTCTTTATGGTGCTTCACTAGATAGCCAACCTGTGACTTTGGGGACAGAAGGGAGGCAAGATCAAGCCATGTGGTACACCCCAAGCCTCTGGGTAATACCATCCTAGAATTAGGACCCAGCAGACTTTCCATCTAGCCTCAATTTGGTTAAAAATTGACCACGTGGGTTGAGTCTACTAAAGCTCAGTTTCCTTATCTACCAAATGGGCTAATAGGGGTAATATACCTGCATTGCCTACTACATGGAATCAGTGTGAAGATCAAGTAGAGTAATAGAAGTGAAAACATTTGTACTCTGTAAAGGAAATTGTAGTGTTACTAAGCTTTATAAAATGTTAACTGATTGTCTCAGTGTTTCCAGGGCAGGGATGTTTTGTAAAGAAATGATTCTCTTCCATAGCAAACCCTGGAGAATACAACATCTCTGGCCCACTGGAGATCCTATTACTTACTATCTCTTTTTAAGAATCAGTCCCAAAATAACTGTATGAAACCCTAGAATGCTTCAGGAATTGGGCTGGAGAAGAGGAGGAAAGATGAATGACTTGATTAAATTGGTTAAGAAGCAACAACCAGCTAGGCACCTGTAATCCCAGCTACTTGAGGCTGAGGTGGTTAAGTTGGTTAAGAAGGAAACAACCTGCTGGGTGTGGTGGCTCACTCCTGTAATCCCAGCATTTTGGGAGGCTGAGGCGGGTGGATCACCTGAGTCCAGGAGTTCAAGGCCAGCCTGGCTAACATGGTGAAACCCTGTCTCTACTAAAAATACAAAAAAATAGCCGGGTGTGGTGATGGGCATCTGTAATCTCAGCTACTCAGAAGGCTAAGGCAGGAGAATTACTTGAACCTGGGAGGCCAAGGTTGCAGTGAACCGAGGTCGCGCTACTGCACTCCAGCCTGGGCAACAGGAGTAAAACTCCATCTCCAAAACAAAACAAAATAGAACAAAACAAAACACAAAACAAAAAGAAGAAGCCAACAACCAGCTATGAACCTGTAATCTCAGCTACTCAAGGCTGAGATGGGAAGATTGCATGAGCCCAGGAGTTCAAGACTAGCCTGGATGACATAGCAAGACCCCCCTCCCCTCTTTTTTTTTTTTTTGAAGATAGAGTCTGGCTCTGTTGCCTAGGCTGGAGTGAAGTGACATGGTCTCGGCTCACTGCAACCTCTGCCTCCTGGGTTCACGCAATTCTCATGCCTCAGCCTCCTGAGTAGCTTGGACTACAGGTGCACTCCACCACCCCTGGCTAAGTTTTTGTATTTTTAGTAGAGACAGGATTTCACCGTGTTGCCCAGGCTGGTCTCGAATTCCTGAGCTCAGGCATTCCACCCACCTAGGCTTCCCAAAGTGTTAGGATACAGGCATGAGCCATTGTGCCCCAGCAAGACACCATCTCTAAAACAAACAAACAAACAAACAAACAAGACCCTATCTCTAAAACAAACACACACACATGTGCACACACACACACACAAACAAACAAACAAAAAAAAGTAAACAATACTGTCTTGTTTCAAAGGAAAGTATCTGCTTCCTGCATGAGCAATACTGACTGGTAAACAGATCTAGTTGCCTTTTGGTAGCCTCACAGACCTTTATAAACCTGTACTAGGAATCAGCTCTTTCCGGCCAAGACCAGAGTCTGAAGCCTTGTAACAGGGTTCGATGTGTTCTGATTCCCAAGGCATCCCCCAGACAGGTTTTGGTTAGTTTCCAGTTTATTTTTACTAACTCATTTATATAGACTCTTTTCATGTTGTTTGAGCACTTCTTCTTCGGGGAGAGGGTGGATATAAAGCAAAAAGGCCAACCTTGAGAAGGTTGAGAAGTTTGGATTAGGTGTGATCAGGCTGATGGAGTTTGCTTGTAAAAATAATGATAGTTCTTTGTGTACACACTGGGAGTCTTTGAATAGCTTTCCCCTTTCGAATATCATTTAAACTTGATAAATGCCTGGGTTGCACGTAGCAGGCAGAGACTGTTCCCAGTTAACAGATGGGGAAAGCTGAAGCCCAGAGAAAGCACCTGGTCTAGGGTCACATAGCCAGATATGGAGGACTTTCACTTCAGTTTTCTCATTTGGTGCTCAGTGTAAGCCTGGAAGAAATGGGAGCCGCAGAAGTTGTTAAACTCCTCTCACAGATGAGAGTCAGAGGTAAAATGAGATTGTTTTGGAAAAGGATAAAGGCTGAATGAGAGCCCAGGATTTCTGACCTGATATCTTTCCTCTCTATTCCCAAACTATCAAATCCAGACCTCAGGATTCACGACAGGGCTGTGCCTGCCGGTTCAGTCCATCTTCATGGTGTATCTTTCCAGCCCGAGTCTCTGGTTAGTTTCTGCCCTCTCATTGAACAGGTAGCTAACCCAAACCCTTAGCAGGACTTGCAGTACCTCACTCAGCCTGGAGACCCTTTCTTCCCCTTTGTCTTTGTCTCTTATTTCCACCCACTCAATCCTAAGGGGATGACAGGACCTTTCCCCTAGACTAGTTGCTCTTAACCACCTTTGGCTCTTGGATACCTTTGAGAATTTGATGACAGCAATGGACTCTCACAGGAAAAAAGCCCACAGAGCCAGTTTTGCACACAATATCAAGGGACTTGGAATCTCCCTAGCTCAGTCAGCTTGCCCACAAGTTAAAAATACCTGCCCTCCGTCTTGTTCTCCCCAGAATAAGTCCCACTCCCAAGGAGGTCAGTGACCCTGTGACCATCACAGGCAACTGAGAAAGGCTCCAGAAGATGGCAGAAGGATACTTCCCCTCTTCCTCAGCCTTTCTTCCTCAGGCATGGTGGGCATGAAGTGCCCACCAATGTGGAGTTATTTATGGCCAGGGCCTAGTTTCATATCCTGCACAGCCTGCCATAGGGGAGGTGCGTGGAGCAGAAAGAGAAGTGGGGTCAGCAGGCAGGGCTGAGAGCCCACCCAAATCACAGGCTGCCCCTTGTGGCCACCTCCATCCAGCCTCCCTGCTCCTGGGGAGCACAGTGGGGGCTGGGCCGTGGGCTCCTGCTGCCTCTGCACCCTCTCCCTTCTCCTCTGGCTGGACACAACTCTTCCAGGGCAGAAGCTCTGGCTCATTCCCCTTGGCCAGTTCAGTACCCACTTGGCGTGCTTGTCTGTGTTGAGTGGGTTGGCATGGGTTGGGTGCAGACACTCTGCTATGTCTCAGTGATGCTGTTTGGAAGGAGACAGCTGGAATGTCTCACTGCCCTGGGTAGGATGTGGTATGTACGCAGGTGTGTCTGGGGATTGGTGATTGGTGGCGAATGGGTGGTGGAATGAGTCTTGGGTCGCCTGCTTATGAGGAAGGTAGAGTCAAATGTCTTTTCTCTTTCTTTTTCAACCCTTAAAGTGTCTCTGTCCTAGTGGTCACTCCTCTCTTTTCCCCTCATCATCGGAAGGAAGCTCTCCCTACCTGCGCCCCACAGCTCTGTCGCCTCCATCTCTGCTCCTCCCAATGCCCCTGCCCTGCACGCCTTCTTACCTGGCTGCCTTTCTCTGGCCTGTCCTGCTGGGCCTAGCCCTTACCCTGCTCCTCTAACCTGCATGTGTCCAGCTGCAGTGGCTGTTCTGTGTCGCACGACCCCCTCCTTTCCCTCCTCCCCCACCGGCCCCACTCCTTCCAGAAGATGCGTGGGGGGGGGGTTGGGGGGCAGGGGCATCATGAACCCCTGGGGTGGAGGGGGACCGGGGGAATTATTCCCCTGTTTCCTGCTTTTACTAACGAACCTGCCATTTTTGTGTCTGGACTTTGATTTGTCTGAGGGAACAGTCGGGTTTTACTAATCTAAGTCATCTCCCTCCTTGCCTTCCCCAGAGACCTTCCTCCATTCCCTCTACCTTTGGCTTCCTTTCCACCCAGAACCCGTCCCCACTTTCTCCCTCTACTCCCCACCTCTGGCTGATCCCCTTCCTCAGGGCACTTCCTTATATTGTCCTTCCTCCTGCTACCCCACCCCCAGGCCCAGCCCTGGGCCATAAGAGGGTGATTAAGGCAGCCCTTTCCCAGTAGGGAGCACATGGGAGTGATCTGCAAAAAGCCCAGGGGGCATGGTGAGATTGTGCCCAGTCAGAAGGGAAACTGAGGAGGGTGTTTCCTCCTCTCTACCCTACACTGTCGCCTCGTCTAAGTCTGAGAGGGCAAAGGGAGGGTGACTTTGGCAAATGGAGTGGGATAGAGAGAGCCCATAGGGTGAGGGAGATGGCCAGTGGCTGGTGCCCTGGCTTCTGAGGTCAGGGAGGGAGGACACAGCTGAGGGGCTCAGGTGGGCTGGAGGCCAAAAGAGGAGATTCTCTTCCTGGGGAGCTTTGGGGCCAGAAGAGCCCTTTCCCTGCACTGAAGCAGGAGTGCACTTGAGTTTCTGTCACCAAAGTCACAGGCTCCCTAGGTGTTAGGTTCATAGATGGAGATGCCAGCTTTGTGGCCCTGGGTCATAAGATGATCTTTAATGGCTATGTGCTGTATATCCTGGATTATGTTCAGATTAGTGGGGTTACAGGGACATGTCAGGCTGGTGCCTACCTGTCAGGAGCTGACCAGTTGGGGTGACCAGACTTAGGCACAGGAAGTAATCAGCAGCCCAGTTCCTGGTCTCTCAGTGCAGCATCAGGGAGAGTGGAGGTGGAGGGCTGGATGGAGTTGAATTTGTCCCAGGGAGGCCCGTTCAGCCTATTACCCACTCCCTGTCTTATCCCTGACCTTTCATCCCGGTTCCTTCTTCCCTTTCTCCAGCCCCTTTCTGCCAGGTCTAATCTTGTTTGCATGTTTTTGTGACTAATACTTTGACCCTTCCCTTTTCTACCCAGACCCCTACTTCCCAGCCTTAGGGTGGGGTGGAGGGAAGAAGAAATAAATGGTAATGACCGGCCCTCCCCTCAAATAAGATTCAAAAGCTTTCAGACTGCCCCTTTCCACAAAGACACCCTCTTACCTTCTGCTCTTGAACCTAGTTACCCCAGCACAAGGTTTGATGGTTCCCAGGAGGTGGAAAGTGGGGCTCAGTTCTACCCTATTCACTGCAAGGCTCCAGCCAAGCACAAGGGGGATTCGGGGGTCCTGGGAGGGCAGGAAGCTCCCTTACCCCAGTTCTGCTCATGTTCCTTTGGAGTTCCTCCCCTCACCCACTGAGACTATGGACCCCTGGAGACCAGTCGCTGGAAGATGGCTGGTGGCATGTGCATATAGACTGGTGTGGGTGAGGAGGGCATAGGATGTGACTGGAAGGCCCCAGTCTCTAGACTGTTCCTGAAAGAGGGTGCTGAGGCACCTCTTTCAGTGCAGCATCAGGGAGAGTGGAGGTGGAGGGCTGGATGGAGTTGAATTTGTCCCAGGGAGGCCCGTTCAGCCTATTACCCACTCCCTGTCTTGTCCCTGACCTTTCATCCCGGTTCCTTCTTCCCTTTCTCCAGCCCCTCTCTGCCAGGGGAATGAGAAATGGGGTGAGCTGTGGCCTTTGGAAATGCAGTGTTGGGCTAACCCTGAGCCAGCTTCCTATTGACCCTGCAGAGCTCTGCCCTTTTTCCCAGCTGACCTTCCCAAACCACTGCCTTCCTAGAGTAGGGGCTCATGGTCTCATAGCCCTTGGCCCTTCTCCCACAACCTTTATGGGTGTCTTGAACCTTTGTGGGCTGCTTGTAGAGTTAGATTTTTTGGAGACTAGGTGGACATTTGCCTGGGGAGACTGGGGGAGTCAGAGAGTTTCCTGTCCTTGTCACGCCCCGCCCCGCCCCACCTAAGATCACTTCGGCATTCTCCAGGCCACCGCTGAGCCCCCCCTGCCTCCTGGAACACCAAGTACTGCCCCATTCCCACTCATCCTGCTTTCTTACTGAACTTTCAGCCCAGGGGCAAGCTATTCATGAGGTTAGCCCTATTCCCCTCTGTTCCCTAAGCTGGCCCTGACTCCCTGGAGTAACTCTGGTGGTGTCTGTAGACAAGGCAATTAGATAGGAAGAAGGAAGAGTGGACTAATGTAGCTAAAGAGCTCCCTCTCCTTTGGAGGCAAGAGAGTGACCTGAATATAAGGAGATCTGAGGAGCCAAGAGACAGACTCAGGAAAGGGCTAGAAGTACAAACCCAGAGACTGGGCGGCAGGGGTGGAAATCAGCCCCGATGGGCAACCCCAGAAAGTTTCAAGACTTTCTAGGAATATCTGAGTTCCTGGTCCTCACACTGCTATCTTCCATCTCCCTACTGGGTCCAGACTGAAAGGCTTCCCAGCACCCAGCGGAGAGGGCTGCAGGTGAGTCTAAGCCACCAAGGTCTGGGGAACATCATTCTCTGGCACACTTTTGAAAGAAGTTCTGGAGTCATGTGTGTGTCCAGAGAGTACCTTCAGGAAAAGAAAAGTGAGGATGCCATCTGCACCCATCCTGTGCCCCAGAATGGGGGATCCATCCTGGAGCCCACATTCTTGTTCAGAGTGCCTTCCAGGAACAACTTCTTGGGGGACCTCATGGGGAGCTCTCCAAGTACCCTTCAGGCTCCTGCCTGCTGAGCTGGGGGCAAGAGGGCAGGTCTTAGCCCACCCTGAAACCATCAAATCTTGTGCTGCCTCCTTTTCCTCATTCCTTCTCTCCCCCCACTGTTCCTTCTCCAAGACAAGCAGACATAAAAATGGGGGTCCCCCTCCCCTGCTGCCCTCTGGCCCCTCCTTTGCCCAGCCATAGCTCTTCCTAGGGATTTGATGTTGGTTGTCTCCTGTCTTTCTCCCTCCCTCCTGGGCTGGGCAGGTGACCATCTCGGTGGACGGGATCCTGACCACCACAGGCTACACGCAGGAGGATTACACTATGCTGGGCTCTGATGACTTCTTCTACATTGGGGGCAGCCCCAACACAGCTGACCTGCCGGGCTCACCCGTCAGCAACAACTTCATGGGCTGCCTCAAGGACGTGAGTAGGGCTAGGGAGGGGCTGCAGGCCATTCAGGAGCCCTTTGGCTCCTGTCTTCAGTGTCACTTAGTCTGACCCAGCTAGGTGTCTGGGTCCTCTGTTCCTTCCAAGTCCATGGTGGGAGACACCCCCTCTTTAAAACCTAAGGCCCACTGACTCCATCAAGAGGCTTCTCCCCTCTCATTTCCTTGAGCCTTAGAAACTCCCATCCTCATAGAGGACCCTCAAAGGCAGCTGTGAAACAGAGGAAAGAATGCTGGGTGTGAAGACTAAAGACCTTTGCTTGAGTCCCAGCTCTTCCACTCATTGGTTCTGTGACTGTGGTCAAGTCACTTGACTGTCTAATGCTGAGTTCCTCCTCTGTAGATGGGTAGTCAGTGCCTACTTCATAAGGTTGTGAGGCGCACATGAGAGTGTAGGTGAACGTGCTTCATCAAGTAGAAAATGGCTACCACATGTCAGTGGCCTTGTCATTATTATGAACTGCAATTTAGTGGGCACTGAGAGCCCACAGGCAAGTTACCATGCTTCTGCTGGGCCAGAAGACAGGACAGGACAGGCAAGGGAGGTGCTTGTTCACAGCCTCTGTGCCTGAAGCTCCAGAACAGAGGCCTAAGGGGAGTGGTCTGGTGGAACTGAGCAGGGGCTACAGGGGTGGGTGACTGGGTCCCCTGGTGCTCGCTGCTGGGTGGGAGTGACCAGGCCCTAAGCTGCTTTCTGATTCTTTATACCTGACGCCACCCCTCCCTGCAGGTGGTCTATAAGAACAATGACTTCAAACTGGAACTATCCCGCCTGGCAAAGGAAGGGGACCCCAAGATGAAGCTGCAGGGGGACTTGTCATTCCGCTGTGAGGATGTGGCTGCCCTGGACCCTGTGACCTTTGAGAGTCCCGAGGCCTTTGTGGCGCTGCCCCGCTGGAGCGCTAAGCGCACTGGCTCCATCTCCCTAGACTTCCGCACCACTGAGCCCAATGGGCTGCTGCTCTTCAGCCAGGGCCGGCGGGCTGGGGGTGGAGCTGGCAGCCACAGCTCTGCTCAGCGGGCCGACTACTTTGCCATGGAGCTTTTGGACGGCCACCTCTATCTTCTGCTGGACATGGGATCTGGGGGCATCAAGCTGCGGGCATCCAGCCGCAAGGTCAATGATGGCGAGTGGTGTCACGTGGACTTCCAGAGGGACGGGCGAAAAGGTCAGGAGGCCTCTGGACCCTTCCCCTTCCGTGGGCCACCCCTTTCCATCTGCCCTGACATGCTCTCCGTCTCTCTTCAGCGGGTCTCTTCTACACCGTTTCCTATACTCTTCCCTGCCACCTCTCCTCCACTCCTCCTCACGTCTTCCCAATTGTCCTTTCTGGACATTTGCAGAAAGAGCACACCATTTGGTGTCAGTCAGACCTGGATCACACCTCAGCTTCCCTACTTGCTGCAAGTGAGACTCCATTTCCTTATCTGTAGAAGGAATAATCCCACAAGGGCCATCAAGAGGAGAAAATAAGAGCACACCTGTAGAAGGATTAGCACAGTGGCCAACATAGAGTAGATACCCCATTCTCCTTTAAGAATATATCTTCCGGCCGGGCGCGATGCCTCTCGCCTGTAATCCCAGCACTTTGGGAGGCCAAAGTGGGCAGATCGTGAGGTCAGGAGATCGAGACCATCCTGGCTAACATGGCAAAACCCCATCTCTACTAAAATTACAAAATATTAGCCGGGTGTGGTGGTGGGCACCTGTAGTCCCAGCTACTCGGAGGCTGATGCAGAAGAATGGCGTGAACCCGGGAGGCGGAGCTTGCAGTGAGCCTAGATCACACCATTGCACTCCAGCCTGGGTGACAGACTCTGTCTCAAAAAAAAAAAAAAAAAAAAAGAATATATCTTCCCAGCCATGCCTCCCTTCTGTCTAGAGCCATTCAACTTAAAAAAAAAAAAAAAAAAATTAACTCACTAAGCTAGGCGCTGTGGCTCATGCCTGTAATCCTAGCACTTTGGGAGGCCGAGGTGGGTGGACCATTTGAGGTCAGGAGTTTGAGACTACCCTGGCCAACGTGGTGAAACCCTGTCTCTACTAAAAATACAAAAATTAGCCGGGCATGGTGGTGCACTCCCGTAGTCACAGCTAATTGGGAGGCTGAGGCAGGAGAATCGCTTGAACCTGGGAGGCGGAGGTTGCAGTGAGCCAAAATCCTGCCATTGCACTCCAGCCTGGGCGACAGAGGAAGACTATCAAAAAAAAAAGAAAAAAAAAGAAAAAAAAATTCACTCACTCAACAGTTACTGAGCACCCACTGTGTGCCAGATGCTGTCCAAGGTTCTGGAGATATGGACAGCAGGGAAACTAAAAAGACTATCTTCGCTGTCACAGAACCCCTGTTCTGGTGTGGGGTGGGAGAGCATGGAGTGAAAAAGACAGTAAATAGCCCCACACCCCCACCTAGCAGTGAGGGCTCTAGAACAATAAAGTGTCAGGGCAGAGAGTCCTGGGGTCAAGCAGATGCCTGTTCTTGAATCTTCTGTTGCTTCTAACCACTCTCTTCTTCACCCTTCATTTCAGTCTTTTGCATCCTCTTCCTGTTTTCTGTCTGCTAATTATCTCTCCTTTACTCTTCTCCATCTTGTTAAACATGAGAGAATTATCCAAGAAAGGGAAATTGATATAAATGAGAACTGACACATTATCCTATTTAAGCACTTATCAACGCTCAGCTAAATATATATATATATTTTTATACGGAGTCTTGCTCTGTTGCCCAGGCTGAAGTGCCGTGGTGTGTGATCTCAGCTCACTGCAACCTTCACCTCCCGGGTTCAAGTGATTCTCCTGCCTCAGCCTCCAGAGTAGCTGGGACTATAGGCACCTGCCACCACGCCTGGCTAATTTTTTGTATTTTTAGTAGAAACAGGATTTCACCGTCTTAGCCAGGATGGTCTTGATCTCCTGTCCTGGTGATCTGCCTGCCTCAGCCTCCCAAAGTGCTGGGATTACAGGCGTGAGCCACAGCACCCGGCCAACATTAGCTAAATTTTTGTGCTCCTCTGCCTGTCACTGAGCTGGGCCTGTGAGTTTGGGTGGAGTGACCATTCCTCCCTGTGCAGGAAGGAGGGGCCCCTGTGGCTCCTGGAGAATGCCAGCTTCTCATGGGCTTGCTATTTCTTTCGCTTCCGTCCTTGAAATGTTGCTTCCCCTGGGCTTCACATTAAATGGTTTCATCCCCGGGTTGTGTCTCAGGACAGCACCAGGAATTCTTCCCAGAGCTCTCTGTGCCCCAGGGTTTCCACCAGGTGGTCAGTAACACTCTAGGTTGGAAGTCTGCCCAAACCTTGCAGGGCACTGCAGGGCTTCCACTTCTCTGTGCTTTTAGGAAGTACTCCTGTTAGCTCACACCAATCTCTGGAGCCAGAGTCTGGACCAGGTCTGACCGGTGCTTGGATTCCTGTCTTAACCAATTCTGGACATTTCTGACGACCCATTTCTTTTCTTTTTCTTTTTCTTTTTTTTTTTTTGAGATGAAGTCTCACTCTGTTGCCCAGGCTGGAGTGCAGTGGTGTGATCTCAGCTCACTGCAACCTCTGCCTCCCGGGTTCAAGTGATTCTTCT